CGCTGCTGCCGCTGTGTGCGGACAGCGCGGCCACGGCCGGCCCTTGCCGGCCGTCCGACAAATACTCCCGACCAAATCAACCTCAATCAACATGATATAACCATGATTACTGAATTAACCTGAAATCATGAATTTTTGACGGTAAATTGAATATGGCCGTGGCGAGCGCACCGTGCGCCGCCGACGGCGGTTGGCCGTCTCTCGACCAACTTAACCTTTCTCTCGGCAAATCCTCCTCAACTGAACTTAAACATGATGTACCGAACAAATGAACATGCTGGTTCGAAAGAATATTTATTTATAAAATATAATACTCGTGAACGGCCCGTGGCGCGTGCTACGTGCACGGCCACGCCCTTCGGCCGAAACGACACTTAAACATGAAATCTCTTCGTACATCATAGACTGACTGATCATGATATTACACAAAAAGATTAAACATACAAAGATTGTTCGGAGAATTCGACTTTAAACGTGACATGACTCGACACGGCTTCTCGCACGGCCTTAACGACATACGACACGCATGCACGCCTGAACTGAAAAGTGAACTCAATAAACATGATAATATCAGCCTACAACCACAGGGAATTTACCTCCGATTATGCTCAACTGACGGCAATACTTCGGACTCCCGTGTTCGTGTGGCTCTCCGCGTGCGTGGCGTCGCCGTGCGGTGTGATAGCTTGCGGTGCGACTGACTGCCGTGCGTGTGTGCTGATTGCCGTGAAGTACTCCTTTGAATTCTCACCACCCTCAACTATCCTCTCTAGCGTATGATTACATATATGCAGGACTTAACTATATATGTAGAGAAAATTTGGGAAAAATTTCCCAAACACAATTCTTATATACACACGGTGCCGAGAGGGAATTTGCATGAGACCTTGGTGGCTATCTTCTACTAATGACACTTGGAGTAAAACAAAGCCTTCTTAGGTGACTAATCACTTAATTATGCCACCTAATGACATGTATAAAAGATGCTTAAGAGTGAAGGAAATTAATTTCCCACTCAAATTTTACTTACGGCATTTGAGAACTAATGGAGCGACATGGTACGGCTTATATACTTAAGCTCGTGATTAAGTATTAATTAATCACCTAATTATGTTTAATTACTAAATTAAACATAATGCTTAATTACCAAAATTATTCCAAGCGTAAACGGTATGTCGAAAATAATTTCTGGTAATCTCGACTGAACTGACTAAAATAATTAATTCCGAAAATTTATACTCGACAATATTAATATATCGGAACTAAGACATGATTTATACTGATAAACAGACGGGATATTACAATCCTCCCTCCTTAAAAATTTCCGTCCTCGGAAATTCAAAACATAACTGAATATACATGAACTATGTACATAGGATAAGAAAATATGTACATCAAAACTGAAAGTCTGGAAAACGAGCGCGAATATCGGACTCCGCCTCCCAAGTAGCTCCGTGGCGATCCCACTGAATATGCACGAGGGAAACATCTCGCTTCCGGAGCCGACGAACCTGACGGTCTAGTACAGCTACCGGTCGCTCCTCGTACGAAAGATCTGGCTGAACCTGAATATCTGAATGAGGAATAACATGATCGGGGTCGCACACGTACTTACGCAACATTGATGCGTGAAATACATTATGAATGCCTGATAACTCGGGAGGTAGGGCTAATCGATACGCGACCTCGCCCACTCGCTCGAGAACCTCGAACGGACCGATGAATCGAGGGTGCAGCTTCCCTCTCTTTCCGAATCGAACAACTCCGCAAATTGGACGAACTCTGAGAAAAGCTGGCTCGCCAACCTCGACTTGAATATCTCGTCGATGATGATCGGCTGAGGATTTCTGTCGACTCTGAGCTGTCTTGAGTCTCTGCCGGATCAACTCGATCTGATCTGCTATCTCCTCGATCAACTTAGGACCGAGTACTCGTCACTCTCTGACGTCATCCCAATAAAGAGGGGAACGACACTTGCGACCGTAAAGTGCCTCGTAAGGAGCCATCTGAATAGAAGAATGATAGTTGTTGTTAAACGCAAACTCGGCGTACGACAACAACGACTCCCACTTAGCACCCCTGTCAACAACCAAAGCGCGAAGCATATCTTCAAGCGTCTGAATAGTCCGCTCTGACTTACCGTCTGTCTCCGGATGGTAGGCTGAACTGAACTCTAGCTTCGTGCCCATCGCCTCGTGTAAGCTGTGCCAGAATTTGCTGATGAATCTGGGATCTCTGTCTGATACAATAGTAACGGGCACTCCGTAGAGTCGGATGATCCCACGGGTATATATCTCAGCCAACTTGTCCAGAGACATCTTCATCGAAACGGGTAAGAAATGCGCGACCTTAGTCAACCTGTCGACCACAACCCAGATAGCGTCGTGATGTTTAGACGACCTCGGCAATCCCGTAATGAAATCCATCGTGACTTCCTCCCACTTCCACCTCGGAATCGGCAGTGGCTGTAGGAGGCCGATCGGACTCTGATGTTCGGCTTTGACTTGTTGACAGGTAAAACACCTCCTGACAAACTTGGCGACGTCCTTCTTCATGCCTCGCCACCAAAACGACCCTTTCAGGTCGTGATACATCTTCGTGCTCTCGGGATGGGCTAGATAGGGTGCGGTATGAGCCTCTGATAAAATCTCCTTCCGCAACGCCTCGACTTTCGGGACCACGATCCTGCCTCTGAACTCTAGGGCACCATCGGCACCTAGCTGAAAACCCTCGACACCTCCGGCGCGAACCTTGGCCTCCATGACACGAATGAACTCGTCAGAAGCCTGCTCTCGCCGGATTCTCTCTCTCAGCGTCGGCTGAAGCTGCATGGCACTAACACTGACACTGACACTCCCTGAAACAGCTGTGGGAAGTGCATCAATCGCCTTAAGCTGCATCCGGGCAAACTCCTGAATCAATGGACTCTGCTGAGTAATGACGTACGTCAAGTCACCCCTCACCTTTCGGCTTAGGGCGTCAGCAACGACGTTCGCCTTCCCCGGATGATACTGAATAGAGCAATCGTAATCCTTGACGAGCTCTAGCCAACGGCGCTGTCTCATGTTGAGCTCCTTCTGAGTAAAAATATAATGCAGGCTTTTATGATTTGTGAAAATCTCACAATGACCGCCGTAAAGATAGTGTCGCCAAATCTTGAGGGCATGAACGACTGCTGCTAACTCCAAGTCGTGCATCGGATAATTCTGTTCGTGCAGCTTAAGCTGACGTGAAGCATACGCAACGACCTGGCCATCCTGCATAAGGACACATTCCAAGCCCTGTCTCGAAGCATCGCTGAAAATGGTGAAACTCCGAGAAGGATCGGGAATAGTCAACACTGGTGCTGAAGTTAATCTTCTCTTGAGTTCCTAAAAGCTCGACTCACATCGGTCAGTCCACTCGAACCTCACAGACTTCCTCGTCAGCTGGGATAGAGGGAGGGCGATCTTGGAAAAGCCCTCGATAAACCTGCGATAGTATCCAGCTAAACCGAGAAAACTGCGAACCTCGGACGGACTCCTCGGTGTCGACCAGTTCTGAACAGCTGAGAATTTGGAAGGATCCACCTCGATACCTGCCTGAGTAATCACATGACCCAAAAAGGATACTCGCTGGAGCCAGAACTCGCATTTGGAGAATTTTGCAAACAACTTTTCTCGTCTGAGGGTTTCGAGAACCACCCTCAGATGCTCCTCGTGCTCCTTCTGGCTCTTCGAGTAGATAAGAATATCGTCAATAAAGACAATAACGAACTGATCGAGGTAGGAATGGAAAATACGATTCATCAGGTCCATGAAAACTGCTGGCGTATTGCTAAGACCGAATGGCATGACAACGAACTCATAATGGCCGTAACGAGTCCTGAAAGCGGTCTTAGCGATATCTGACTCCTTAATCTTCAGCTGGTGGTCGCCTGATCATAAATCAATCTTTGAAAACACACATGCTCCCCTCAACTAATCAAATAAGTCATCGATCCTGGGAAGCGGATACTTGTTCTTAATCGTCAACCGGTTCAGATCCCGGTAGTCGATACACATGCGCATGGATCCGTCCTTCTTCTTAACAAAGAGAACGGGTGCTCCCCAAGGTGACACGCTCGGTCGGATGAAACCGAGTCGTAACAGCTCCTGAATCTGCGCCTTAAGTTCCTGCAACTCCTTCGGCGCCATACGGTACGGGGCTTTGGATACTGGACCGGCTCCTGGAATGAGATCGATAGAGAACTCCACCTGCCGGTTAGGCGGTCCTCCTGGAAGCTCGTCTGGGAACACGTCCACAAACTCACGAACGACTGGAACATCGTGAGGTGAGCCTGCTTTCTGAGAATCGTCGACAAGGCTCACCAGATAACCCTGGCAGTTGCCTCGTCGCAGCAACTTAGTGGCTTTCGCCATCGAAACAACATGAGGCAATGAACGATTCCTAGAGCCAAAGAAAGTAATCGACTCGTCTCCCGGAAGATAAAAAGTAATCTCCCGGTCATGGCATCTGATATCTGCATGATAAAAGGATAGCCAATCCATTCCGAGAATAAGGTCGAAGTCCCTCATCTCGAGAGCAAACGCGTCGGTAGACAATACTTGACCACCGATGGAAAGGCTAAGATCTGAAGCTTTAGCTGAAGTCACTATCTTTCGTCCCGAGGCTAAACTCACCTCAAGAGGATCAACAGTGGTAACGGCATGAACTCCAATGGCATCAAGACATTGTCGTGAAACGAAAGAATGTGTCGCTCCAGTATCGAATAAAGCAAACACAGAAACATTATTAAGAACAACCATCCCTGACATAGTACCTGGCTGCTGCTCGGCCTCTG